ATTAAAAAAGGAAAACAATTAGGCATATTTACTATGATTTAGATGATAAAATTATCAATGGCAGAGAAACTCTCTTAAATATTTTATGCTGTGTGACAACTCCCGGTTGGCCTCGGCCAGGGCATCACCAGCTAGTTAACATTTATTCGATTTGGATTTGGATTTGGATTTGTTTGTTAATAATGATAACAACAAATGAAATTAAAGTCATGTTTATTTTAAATTAATTAATTTTAAGATTTTGAAAAAGTAATCGATCGAGAAATATTTCCAGGTCACAAAGATACCAAAAAAAATTTATTCTTGCTTCCCGGTTATTAAATTATCGTTATCATCGATCAGAAGAGAAGAGAGATGCAAATAAAAGGAAAGCAATTAATTCAGGTTATTCATTAAATTTATTTGTAATACATTACAAACTTCCTTATAATTAATAGCAATTATTTTTCTACAGAAATTATCATACATATCTGGAATATGCGAGGCTCTAACGAGAAAATGGGAACGCGATTCCAAAGTCAAAATCAAAATTAGTTAAAACCATACGTGGAAGTAGAAATAGATTTGACACTTTGTATCAAATTCAGATTGTGATTTTGGGAATCAAATGTTCATGGATATCTAGGCATAAGTTAACAAGATAAATCATGGCGCATATAAATGACTGTTTATTTGAATAATTTAATAATTTTAACTTGATTCCATAAAATTGCTATAAATTAAAATTTTAAATTAATTAATTATTGAATAATAACAATAACAAATAACAATAATAACAATAATGATAATTAATACGACTTACCAACATCTTTTGGAGTTCTCCCATGCTTATCTTTAATATTAATGTTTGCTTTACAATTATATATCAAATAGTCAACTATATCAATATAGCTTTCTTTGCACGCATAATGAAGACAAGTCCAATTATCCCAATCATCCACCACATTCACATCAATTCCACATTCAATCAACAATTTCAAAACTTCCAAATTACCAACCATTGTAGCATAATGAATTGCTTGTCTACCAATTTTATCTTTATGATAAAGAAATTTATATTTTTCTTTTCCTTTTTTAGATTTATCATCAACATCATAATTATATTCTTCATAAATTAATTTTTTAATTAAATTTACATCACCTGAGATTATCGAACTTTGTAATAGATTGACTCCACTGTTGTCGGTAATTTTTAATAATTGTTTTTTTATTTCTGGGTTAACTGCTGATAGCAAATAGAAAACAATCGATGATGATGACGATGATGATGATGATGCAGCAGTATGTATTGGATATATTCCTGATTTGCTTGGAATCATTAATGTATCGGGTGAAATTTGATAAAGATACTTTACAACTTCTAGATGTGTTTCTTTTATTGCTAGATGCAAACTAGTCCATCCATCTTTATTTAAATGTTTTACATTTGCTTCATGACTAACAAGTTCTTTTACAATATCTAATCTACCTTTCATCGCTTTATTATTAATTAATTATTAATTATTAAATGTTTTTGGAAGAGGATGAGAAATAGGAGAATAAAGAATTTATAATGTTTACACGCCTGCAATCATCAATGGAGTCCAATCACCTCTTTTCATACAATCAACATTTACATTTTTTTGTTGACAAATAAATCTGACACATTCTAAATTATCAATTGCTTCGTGAAGTGGTTGTCTGCCTAAAATCAATCGACTGATTATTTAATTTATTTTAAAATCAAAACGTGTTTATTATTGATATAATACCATGTTTATTAATTACATTCCCAATCCCACCCAATCAGTGTGTATAAAATTCAGTATGCGAAATTGTCGTGCCAACCTAATTTGGTAAATATTTGCAAAAACCCACAGATCATTGCCAAATTTAATTAGCAAGTACCAATCATGCATGTTAATTTCAATCAAATAATTGGTTAGAATCTACTAGAGTTATTGTTACACTAGCATAAATTATTGTCACAAACTTTAAAGTGAAAGCCCCCAATAGGTGCATCAATAATTAATTATAGAAAAGTCATGATTTTTTTTGAGTGAGAGCCCAGAACATGAATTATTTGAGCAGCTACTAAAATAGTCATTACTGGAATTAATACTGCAGGTGAAGATGATAATAGTTTATAGATTATTTGATTTTAATTCATAAATTATTATTCAAGAATAAATAAATCAATGAAATCAATGAAAACCTCTAGAAAAATAAATGACGATACAAATATAACAAACTTGCAATTCGTGTCACGTCAAATCCATTGAGATTACCATATCATGAGTATTTTTTAAGCCATTGTATTTCTTTCACATGTTACAAACATCATTCTTTTCGTGATACGCCATTAAAAGAAAAAGAAATATATTTTGTGCATTATTTAACGCAACGATTCTATCATTATGGCCATTTACCCCAAGTAGCCTTGTATATTGTTGCAGGTTCACAATCATCATATATTTTAAGTCGTCACACAAAACCCCATTGAAAATATTCATTGTTATGGCATGCCATGCTGGACCATATTTTGTTGTAAAAAGTTGCAACATTTTGTTGTAATTAATTGCAACATTTTGTCGCAGCATTTTGTTGCAAAAAGTTGCAACATTTTGTTGTTAATTGTATGGCACGACTACATTTTGTTGTAAAAAGTTGCAATTATAGATAGGT